AAATTCACAGTGTAGGCAGTGATTTGGGAAGCTGGTTGAAATCCTGGGTGCCCAAGAATTGGTGCATCTTGCAATTGTCCCAGTTTTAATATGGACAGAGTACAGTTCACACTGAGAGCTATTTCAAGTGGTTAAACCAAAATATGTTTGATTATAAGTATCATTATATTCATGATAATGGACATAAGCAGAAAAAGAAAGATAAGGAATTTTCCATTTCCATAAATTCCATTGTCTTACAAACGTGGAATTACATAAATTCTTGTACTTCAACTATCCGAACCTCTCATGCTCCTGTTTATTAAAATCTAAAATGACAGTACATCCTCTCAAAACCATTTCTGCTTAAACATAGTGAAATTTAAAACTACCTCTGTCTCTGCTCTTTAAAACTTCACTGAAGTCACAGTAGACATTTATAGATGTATACACCCAGGACATCACTGGGAAAGGGTAGAATAGCAGACAAGAGAAAGATGGAAAACAGATAGAGGGCAGGGTGGTAACAGACTAAAACCAAGGACTATAACCTTTGGACACAATAAAGGGGAAAAAAGGACAAGCACCAAGCTAATTGGTACCAGGGTTCTGAAAAGCCTCTGGATTTAGAGGAAACAGTACTGTTGGGAGCAGGGATGAAGCTCTGCACTGAATACAAATTAATTACAAAATCTGCATACGAAATGAGACCACAATGCCATTTTCCCACTAGAACCAACCAACTAATCTTCCCATAGAGGAGAATAAATTAGTTCTTGGGGAAATTGAATTGGTTGGGGGGAGTGTGCAGGGGGAGTCTAGCTTAGGGTCTCTAAGAAAAATAGAGGTATATGAAAACAAAGAAAGTGGGAAAGATTATGTAAATGTCTGGATTGAACATTTATATGGCTGGCTGATCCCTTGTTTTACTTCCCAAATACTAATAACCAGTTTCATATTCCCCATGGGACTGAAAATTGGAGACATCATCTCTAAGGGAATTCAGAGGTCCCAAAGAAAAGATATGTATACTAATAATTGGGTATGTGCAATCAAAGATTGGCTCATTACCTGGTCAGTGGTTCATCAGTGGTTAGGAAGCCTCACCTATGTTTTCCCAATCACCAGTCAGGATTTTTAATGCCTCACTGGTAAATATGAAGAAATATGCAGGCATCAGACTTCTAAGGAAGTCTTCCAACACAGAGGCCAATATAAAAAAAAAAATAATTCTGAGATATAGTACTAGGGTTAAAATGCCTGCCTTGCATCTGGCTGGGCCTATTTAGACCCCTGGTACCTCATCACATGGTCCCAGGGATTTGCCTTGTATAACTCCTGAGTTCCAGCAGGGTGACCTGGGTAATCTCTTGTATCACAGGGCCCACACATTAAACTTCTGATGGTCTAGGGATCACTGGAAATGGCCTCCAGAACTAAGAGCACTATTTGGGAGGAGCCCCCCACCCCCAAAATTAAGGAAAAGGGTAGAGAGAAAACAGATATTTTGGAGATAGTTTTTAAAACCTTTGTAAAAGTGAACTACAACCAGACCTTTTTTTTTTTTAAATTTTGAAGACACTTGCCTATTGATTTTTCATTTTTATTTTAATAACATTGGTTTACAAAGCTATAACTTTAGGGATATAATTTCACATCAAAGAATAAGTATTTTCTTAAAATTTATACTCATTTTACCAATTTAAATATTTTTTTAGTTATAGGCAAGAATGCAGAGAATTAAAATGTATGAGAAAAAAGTTTAAAAGGTTGGAAGTACAACGAGGTAGAATTTCACATAATTCTGTCAATTCAGAGGGTAGAAGCACAGTTCAATAAGTTCAGTGGAATCCTTGCATAAAAATGAGATGAATTTGGGGCGGCCAGATTTTCTTGGATGTTGATTGAGCCAAAGATCAAGGGATGACATTGTTAGAAGAGGAACCATTGGTTATTGAAGAGAGAAGTGAGTAGTCAGTAGGTAGAACACCTATTTGAAGTTCATACGTCAGCCAAATCTACTGATGATAAATACTTGAACTAGTGGACCAATTGTAGATATGAAAAGGAAAAATAATATATAGAATTTAGCAGTTATTTTAATGAGGGAAAGATGCAGGGGCCAACAAAAAAGCTGCTTTATAACTCTAGTGCAAAAGAACAGTGAAGTTTTGAGGAAGATGATTTCAAACATGTTGAATTCAAATTTAACAAGCATTTAAAATATGAATTTGAGGTGTAATTACTCAGCAGAATCATACTGAGTATCTGTATTTAATAAATCCCATAAGAACTGTCAACTCAAAATTAAATAAAAACTGGGTTTCTGTAGTGAGAAGAAAACTCATCGTTTGAATGGAGAGAAATACATAGAATGTGATGAATAAATGCAGTCCTATTCTCAAAAGTAATGTAGTGAAATGATGGGCTGTTGCTGCATTACTTGTCCTTGGATACACCAAGATTCTTTTAAAAAGATGTCATTGAATAGGAATTTTCAAATACGAGCTGTTATTCCAGGCACAATTTGAACATTTTCTAGATAGGAGGGCTTAACGACGATGCAGATAGAGATTTGAGTAACTGGAAGTTCACTTCTACTCAAATTTCTGTTGAATTTAATGAGAACAAAGTTGGATTAAGAAAAAAAGAGTAACAGATTTTAAAATGAGAGAAGGTGAAATAAAGCTGATATGTTAAACTTAAAATCGGGATAGTAAAAATGAGTTTTGAAAGAAGTAAAATGAAAGCTGTCTTTTCCTACTTAACTGAAGTTTTAAAAATTGGGAGAAAGTATAGGATATATTCACAGTATAACATTGCTATCATAGAACAGATTGCGACAGGTCTAAGAAAGGCAAAGACAGGGAATGGACAATTATTTTATGGTGGTAAACTAACTAAAATCTCTGCACTTGTCAGCTGTTAATTGACTAAAGTCTTGTTCATTGCAACGTTATTTAAAGAAACAGCACTAACAAATGCAAAATTGAGCAATGATGAAAACAAACAAAGGCTTGTATAACATAGCTTCATGCCTTGAAAGCAATTACATTTATATATTTATATTATTTAGGCTAAAGATTTTAAATGAAAAGCCTTTTCCATACTTTTTAGGGGTGTGGAGGGGGGTGTGAGGTGGGCCATATTTAGCAGTTCTTTGTGGTCCTGACTCGGCTCAGGGGTCACTCCATGAGCAGTGCTGGAGATTGAACCCTGGTTAGCCACATGCAAAGCAAGCCCCTTAATCCCTATACACCCCCTGCCAGCGCTATTTTTTGTTTTTAATGCTCTCACAGTGATATCAATTCTTCACAGAATGCACAGCTACCTGGTTGCTACTTCCCAGAAATTCTTCCTTCTAAAAAATGCTTCTTTGCCTAATATTTTTAGAGATGACTAATTCTGCCACAGAGAGCAGAGCTTTTGTTTTTGAAAATGCTTTATTTAAAAATGCGATTATGAAATAACTAGTTTTAGTTTATGTACTAAATTGGGCTGGAGCGATAGCACAGCGGGTAGGGCGTTTGCCTTGCACGCAACTGACCCAGTTCAATTCCTCTGTCCCTCTCAGAGAGCCCAGCAAGCTATCAGTAGTAGCCTGCCCGCAGGGCAGAGCCTGGCAAGCTCCCATGGCATATTCAATATGCCAAAAATAGTAACACCAATTCTCACAATGGAGATGTTACTGGTGTCTGCTTGAGCAAACCAATGAACAATGGGAGGACAGTACTACAGTATACACTTCAAATCAAGTATGACATTTTAAAAACAATAAATAAAAATGATACTTGTGCACAAGTTAGCCTTGCCTTAGGAGAGATTTTTTCTAGTCCCCCTTATGATGTGTCAGGGCATGGAATTATAAAGTGACCAGAATTTGGTGTGCTATCCTTGGCAGCGTGAAAAGGTAGTCTGCATACTATCAGAGTAAAACACAATGATTGGCAGGGACTTGGGTGAGACGCACTGTGCTTCCCTGCCGAAGACTTTCTCACAGACCATCACCTGTCCTGTATGATTTTCCTTTCCATTCAAAACCAAATATCAGAGTGCTCTACGTTATATCCATTGTTAATAGTCCTAAACTAAAACACACCTCTTGCCATAATGGTTTTTCTTTCCTTTTCTTCATAAGCAAATTTTATTCTAATTGAAAAAATCTTCTTTGAGCATCACAGTTTCCTGCCAGGTCTAACTGAGATATAGTTGGCTCTTAGGAAATATGTCTAGCTCTTAGGAAATAATTCATTTCCTGACTATAAACTGTGTTGGAAAATATTACCGTCGTTTTATAACGAAGTACACTTGGGCTTTAGTGGTTATTGTTAATTCTCCTGATTCCCAGCACCTACTTGGTTGATTCTCAGTAATACAAGAACAGTGCTGATAGGAGAGAATGCCCTTCTCTGCTGTGCAAAATTTTGCATGTGTGAACAGCTATTACCGAGGTGGAAAGAAATGAGAAACTCTTTTATCTGAACTTGTTCTCATCTCTCAAATTCTTGTTCCCATCTTCTGGGTACCCATGAATAATTTCTTCTCATTAAACAATGACCGTGTGAGTTGTTGCTCTTTGGTTTTGTTCCGTAAAAATTCCCTGTCCCCGCCTCCCCCACCGCTACCGCCAAAATAAATTTCAAAAATAATTGTCATCCTGTATCTAGGACACTCCTGATTTGTCTTTTAAATGAGTCAAAGCCGAGAGAATTATGTAAGCGTAAATGTTAGTGTGAAAGCTCAAGAACTGGTCATCTAACACTCCATCTCATCTCCAGCCAGAGCATGAATACGATTGAGTCTTTCCCCTGTTGCCCTAGGTACGATCTGCTGTCTTATTCTTTCTGTCTGGTTAAAAAAAAATTTTAAAAATCCGTTATCTTTTTCTTGCCTCAATGTGAGTGTGGAAACAAAAAAGAAGTTTAAGTGTAAGTGCTTTTCCCCAGACCGCCAAAAAGATAGCTGTGAATTTTGCGCTGGAGGAGAGACTGACAGCACACTAATCTTAGCTCTCTTCGCAGTGGGTAAACCTCACAAGTGCAACTACTGTGGACGAAGCTACAAGCAGCGCAGTTCATTGGAGGAGCACAAGGAACGCTGCCACAACTATCTCCAGAATGTCAGCATGGAGGCTGCGGGGCAAGTCATGAGTCACCATGGTGGGTAACAAGGCATTCACAAGATCCATTTCCACCCCCTGCTGCCTGGCCCTCTCTCTCCGCTTAAGTTCTGTCCACCCTTCAGTTTGAAGATCACATCTTTTGTTTGCAATAATTTTCCATCGTATTAACTTTCTGAGGGACTATCTTCTTAAACATATGTAATGAGTAGAACTTCGCAATATTTTACAAAAGAGTGCTGGAATTTTCATCATAGGCCACCAAGTTTTCTGTTTTGTGTTTGAATTAACATACGAATAGGAACCAACCTTGAAAGTGCCAAAGGGACTATTGGCTCTTTTTTCACTTGCTGCATCAGAGAAATCTTCTTACATAAATCTATAGTTTTAAAAGAATTAACTATCTATCATTGTATCTATCTACATCTTCTTATGCAAGCAATTATGATATAAGTGGAAATTTTTCCAGTCAGTTTTGTAGTTGGACACAGCCTAGGCAAGGCAGCCAACAAAACCAAAATTAGACACCACTTTCATCCACCAAAAGAAAAAAAAGGCCCTCAAGTAAAACATTCTGATATCATAAGATACAGGAGCAGAAAGGTAGTCACTAAGGCTGATCAATTAATAATTCTCTATTACTAAAAATTGTTAGTAAATCAGTTTTAATGAAAGAAGCTTATAAATTTCAGTTCTGTAGATTTGTAACGCCGGACTTTTCCTACTTACTGTATTTTGATTTATTTTATTAAACATTATGTACATAATGAAAAATATGTACGTAATGAAAAATTTTACTACTGCACTTATGTGTTTTACTTAAAATCAGTTGATCAATATTAAATGGTATAGTTGTATACTATAGTCACCTCCAAAGTAAAGATGTGCACTTAGTGATTCAAGGATTATTTGTTCTCTTTTTAAAATAAATAATGTACATTATTTTAAAACTAGTGATAATTGTTACTTATGAATGCTTTTTTTTCAGATAGTCCAGGACTCTCTTTATTTTTAAACAAACACTTCTCATGCCATGAATTCATAGGGAATGGGCTCCAGCAGCTCAGGCTCCTTTCCCTTGGTTCCTACAAAGTGTGCTTCTCTGGGTGGAGCAGACTGGCACTTCAGTTCAACCCAAGTTCCTTTCTTTTTGACTTCCTTCTTTTTTTGATCATTATCCTTCACCCATTTCAGGAAGCTGTCGCGACTTTTAGAGTGCTTAATATGCTCAATGTGGACGTGAATTCTCTTGGCAAGAATCTTGCCCTTGACTTGTTTGTTAACAACAATGCCAACGGCATGCTGGGTAACAGTGTAGACTCTTCCAGTTTTGCCATGATAACATTTGTGGGGCATTCCTTTTTGGACAATGCCCATTCCCTTTATGTCTGCGATATCACTTTTCTTGTATATACGCATATATGTGGCCAAAGGAACAACTCCATGTTTTCTGAAAGGTCAGGAGAACATATTGCGGGTGCCCTTCCATTTTCCCTTTGTGTTGGTCATTTTGGCAATTTACTGGGCCCTGGCGGTACCGGCCGAAAGTCATCAATGCTTTTAATTTAAAAAATTATTTTGTTATCCTGAATAATTAAAGCATTTTAAAAAATTGAAGCTAGTTTAAACAAACTAAAGAAGCAAATGTAAGTCCCTTAATCATTGAGTTCATTTATTTTTATATCCATACTGACATCTTTTTAAAACTTGTCTGTGTTTAAGTCTCAGACAATTTGATATGGCACGCTTCCATTCCCTGGATTTATGAGGGTAGCATAAGACCCAGATCACAGAGGTCGACTGACTGTTGTGTCTGAGTATGTCACTTGATGAGAGAGTTAAATGTGATAGGATGTGTACAGAGTATTTTTCACATTACATTTAAGGTTATTAAGCATTATGAAATTGTGAAGGTTTCAATCTCTATAAATTTATATTAGTTACAAGCATTAACTTGAGTTTTTCTAGTGGTTCCATTTGAGGTTCCATTTGCCTACCCCGGATTCTGTTTCTGTTTAAGTTGTGGTTTTAGAGGTGCTTTGAAATTAAGGAGCTGTTGAAAATTTGGGGGTATTCCAAAGCTTTCCAAAGACAAATTCTTGGGGAATTGGGCCTCCATCACTGGACCTCTCCCAGAGATTCTATGCCAATGGGGCCAGATGGTTAAGTGACATGGCCTGAGAGTGCAGTGTCACTACAAGCTGGGTATCTTCAAGGCCACTTTGGTTTTCAGGAACTTCTCAGGCTACACCAAACTGTTCTGGAGTCAGGAGAACATAAAGTTCTGGAGACTTAACTGGTGACAAATTAAGGTGCCTTAACCTCGGATTGTTGTCCCCACCTTCCCAATACATATTATACCATCACGTACTAGATTTGCTTAAAATGTTTTGTTCATTGTAGTTTTGACTTTAAATTGGGCTATTAAATAATTCATTGTCCCATTCGTAGTTGTTTATTAAACATTCTCCTGCATATAGCCCTGAATAAGAAAGTCTTTCCTAAAAGACTGTTGTTATGAGGGAATGAGGATTACATAAATAATTATTTGAACATTTACTTACCTTTCGGAACTTTGACTAGTTATAGATTATGTATTGGAAAATAAGAAGTAAGTAATTGTGGCAGAAAGAAACTTATAAATAAATGGAGATGTAGCATTAAAACCCCTAATTAGACCTCAAAAGGAAAAGACCGTTAGATAGGGTTCTGAGGTTGGTTAAAAAGTAGAGAAGTGGGGAAAGATGTTCTGGTGCTGGGAAAAATAGGACTGAGTGAAACTGTAGGTTTTTTATATAATTTATGTTCCCAAATAGTCTAAATATTTGGTATGATTTCATATAAATTTATACTAATCTAAAACTTAAATACTAAATTTATACTAATATAAATCCTACATTTATACTAATGCAATTTAAGTCTATCACTGTATACTCTTCCTAGATATATAGTGATGATAACTTGAGATTATCCTATTCTCTTTTTCCTCTTGTTAACATGCTTGATGGAGAATTCACTCTCTGAGGTCGGAATTTGTAAATGCCATAAAGTGTGAATAAGATGCTGCTAGAATTTGTCGATAACCTTGTCTCATTTACAAGCAATGTCTCCTTTTAAACGGAGCCCCAGTGAAATTCATATCTATCCCTTTCCCTCTCTTACATGTATCTCTTAGGTAATCTTTTTCTGTTCTTTTCAAGTGGCAGGTGTGGGAATGACTAACATTGTATTTGACATTAGCCACATAAACTTGATTACTCTTCTGTTGTCACATAAGACACAGTTATATTTCATAGCCTCCCTTTCCCAAAGCGTGCTTTTCCCCATGTTAGGTGTCCAGTGAGGAAATATCTGAAGTCAGAGACATCCTTTTCCTTCATTCAGGAAACATTTGTGGGAGGTTGGGGGAAGAAACCTCCCAATAGTGCTCATAGAAACCAGGGACCCTTCCCATATATACTCAGGCCAGTGGGCAAATGTTTTTATTTTCTGGTCCAATGTTTGAGATAGGCAGGCGGGCAGTCGGGGTGAAGGTGAAGGGGAACTGAGGCCGCCTCTGCAGTAATTGGGGCCATCCCCTGGTAATTGGTAAGAAACATTTATGATAACATTGATAGGTACTAATGTCTTATGGAATTTTCCATAAGACATGGATATAAAATAAATGAACACTTTTGCTCTTACATTTGTAGACTAGTAGGTGCTACATAAGGTAATTGAAATTAATCAAGCCTGGCAAGCTACCCATGATGTATTCGATATGCCAAACACAGTAACAACAAAGTCTCCAGTGGAGATGTTACTGGGCCCACTCGAGCAAATCGATGAACAGTGGGAGGACCGTGACCGTGACCAAGTCCTCTAGTGTGTACACACAGTTCTTTACTAGCACAGTTGCAGAACTGACCTCTGTCAGAAGAAGCCAAGGAAAGCTTCAAGCGTATAGTGTTTGAGGACAAGAAGAACTGCCTATATTGGTCAGATTTGAAGTGACCACATTCCAGCGAAATTCCTATATGCTATGCTTGGAATACAGAAGGGCATGAAAAGGGAGTTACAAGAAGCAGTAGAAAATGAAACTGAAATTATAGGTTTTGATGCAAATAGAATGCAGTTCATGCTCATGGGTTTGAATGTTATTAACTTAATCAAAGTTATGTCTTCCAAAGAAGAGAATGACACCTATGTTTAATATTGAATAGACACCTGACTGGGGCATGAGGAATGGAGGGATGAGGGAAAGAAAAGATGAATATGAAAGGTGGTAATAGGACAAGGAAAACAGCATGAAGCACTGAGGACACATTTAAAAGTGAGAGAAATTGTTTGAGGTTCGTGTAAAAACAGTAAATTCATGTAGTTTTGGAATTAAAGATAATTATTTGGGATTTATGGCAGATTATATTATTTGAAAGTTATCTTTATGCCCATTTTTTAAGTATCTTCAGCTTGAAGAAAAATCTTTGAGTATATAATTAGCTTTTCCCCACTTGTCTGAAGACAAAAAATGATAGTATGAATCAAAAGGGTAACCAAGTTTAAAGCAAATATATATAATTTTATGCTTATTATATATTAGATATAATTTTATGATAATAAATAATTGTATGCTTTGAACTATGAGGCAAATGGCATTCTGTATTTTAAGTATGAAGAAATAATTGGGAACCTGTAAACTTTCTAGCAAGTTTCATCAACTTCTTGACTTTGGATGATAGCTTTCCCTTCACTAAGGAATTCAGTAAACATCCGTTGAATATTATATTTGTCTCATACCATAACAGGTATTCGAGACAAAGGCAAATAAAATCCAGTCCCTACCCAGAGATTCTAAGTATTGCAAGGAATTGGCTAATACTACAAGTTTAAGCACATTGAATGATTCATTATGGGGGCACAGATAAATAAGTGATGGGAATTTCATTCTGAAAAAACAGCAGATGCAAGTGAATAAAAGTCTTAAAAGAGCATGGACCTACCAGCAGCTCTGTATAATCAGAATTCGTGAATAAGGGTAAGCAAAACCAGAAGGTAGTAAGGCTGAAGAACTAGATTATTAACAGCTCATGAAGAGCCTCTTGTTTTAAGCAAAGTTTTGCCTCTGAAATCTAGAATGAAGGACCAAGCTGGTGGTAGTGTGATTCGTTATACTCTTAAATAGAAGAGAATTTGGATAGAAAAATAAATATTTGTTTTGAGCACATCTTCATGACTGCAAGAGGCAGTCAAAGGAAACGAGACTATATATAGATACCAAACTAAAAAAAAAATGGATAGGAAATAAGATGCAGGAGTCATGACTGTAGAGTTTATAGGGGTTTTTTGTTAATTGGTTGGGTTTTTTGTCATTTGTATATATTTCATAAGGTTATATGGAAGGAAGGAATACAGAAAGAAGGAAGATTTCAAACAAAGCAAGTATCAACATTGTACAATATAGCCAAGAAACTAAAATAACTACAAAAAATAATAGCTTCTGCCACAAGGAAAGAACTTGACAAAATAAGAAACTATTGTCATTTTCTCTTTTTTCTACCTATTTTGCCCCTTTGGATAACAGAACTTCCATTTTCTCTGAGAGACGCAGCTCCTACTGAATAAAGCCATAGCCAGATTGTCAGTCTAGTCCTATCCATTCACGACAAGAGGAGCAGACCTGTAACCTAATATAAGCCCCTCACACAGTCCTGGAATTAAATTTTAAGTGGATTGTTTGGTAAAAATAGCTATGTTGGGAGCACTCTTAGGTTTCTGTCTTTATGATTTAGCAATGCAGTGAAATGCTGAAGCATTGTGGGTAAATTATACGTTCTACCTGTTTGTAAATTCACATATAAGTTGAAGGGAGATGTTTGATTATGATTACGGCATTTGCTGTGTTGTTGAAGTTGGTTATATTGATATTTCGTATACCAGTTTTGGTATTTAAATGCATTTCTAATCTGAGTATTCCTAATCTAAATATTATACTGTATGATTACTGAATTATGTCAGCTAGAAAACTTGTCTTGTGATTCAGCCAATATATCTGTCCCATAATATTTTGATGCCCATCACTTGATCTATAAAAAAAATTTAATTTATGGAATCGATAAAAAAATGTTTTGGATAATTATCCCACTTACAGGCCTTAAAAATACATCATAGGAGTAGACCAGGTAAGATGCTTGCCTTGAATATGACCAACCAGGGTTCAATCCCCAGCATCCCATATGGGCCCCCAAGCCGATCAGGAATGATCCCTGAGTGCAGAGGCAGGAGTAAACCCTGAGCACTGCCAGATGTGTCCCCAAAACAAACAAACAAGAATCATACATGCTTATCAAATGTCAAAGCTCTAATTATAATTACGTAGTGCAGAAGTGTCTGGGTTCTCTAGCCAGATCTTCTAGGTTCAACTCATACATTCCCTGCTACCTAAAGATAAATCATAACATCTTTATGTTCCCGTGTGTAAAATGGAGATGGTAACTGTTGTTCCTATACATCTGAGGTTGTTGAAATGATTCAATGAATTATTAAATACAAAGTATTAAAGCAATACTAGCACTTAAGTCACATAGTTTAAGTCCGTTGTTGTTGCCGATAGCGTAGAAACAAGATCAATATTCAATGTGTAGAGATGTTGTAAAGTAGAAGTTATATCAGAGCTCCGCTAAAGTCATTGTTTTTAGTTCACATGAGCTTCATTGAACTTAGGACAAATCATCCGTATTGAAGTGGATGTGGTAAAGGACAGTTCCCACACCCAGGTTTCGCTTTGAGTGTATCATGTACAGATATGAAAATTCAAGGTGAGATTTAGAGCAAAACTGCCAAGTTTTCATCTGTTCATTTCAAAACTAATTAGTATATTCATTTGTGGGACAAACCCTATTAAACCATTTTGCTGGGTTTTAGCAAAGTTTACAACACGTAATGTTTTAATTTTCTTTCATTTTGGATTTTGGTTTCATGACATATTTTCAGTTTTAGTCCATTAATGAACTGCTTTTAGTTATAGAATTATTTTAATAACATACTTATGAATTTTCCAAACAAAAGAAGACTTATTATTTTCACAATAATCTAGACTTTGTAACATATTTATTACCGTATTATCCATGCCATTCTAATCCTGCTTTATTTTGATTCTGTGATTATTCTTTCTCTACTTTTTAAGTTATTTTAAAATTCTTGGTGTTGAGGGCTGGATCTATAGCACAGCGGGTAGGGCGTTTGCCTTGCACGTGGCCAACCAGGGTTCAAATCCCAGCCTCCCATATGGTCCCCTGAGCATCGTCAGGAGTAATTCCTGAGTGCATGAGCACACCCCTGTGCATCACCAGGTGTGACGCAAAAATCAAAGTAAATAAATAAATAAATTTAAAAATAAATAAAATTCTTGGTGTTGATAAAGGAGGACATGAGAATCACAGTTTGCCCAAAACTCAATAAACAAGTAAACCATTGTTTATTTCATCTACTACTAGATTAATTATAAAGCTTAGTTTTTATGTAATCAAGTTTAGTGTGATTACACCAGGTTAACCGAAAATTTAGACTGATGGTTAAGTTCCTTTAAACATGTCCAAATTTGGAAGACTACTTCTTTTTTAATTTTTTTCTTTTTGGGTTACACCCGGAAATGCTCAGGGGTTACTCCTCACTCTGCACTCAGGAATTACTCCTGGCGGTGCTTGGTGGACCATATGGGATGCCGGGGATTGAACCCTGGTTGCCCATGTGCAGGGCAAACACCCTACCTGCTGTACAATTGCTCCAGCCTCAAACTAATTCTTTCTGATGTCAGTTTTTTCCCCCAAATCAGCAGCCTGTATTATTAAATAGGTCACATGAGAGATAAGCTAGATTTTTGACCTGTATCTCTTGCATTCTCACTATATTTTAGTATCAAGCCTTATAAATGAGAACTCATTATAATTCATATAGTGGAACAATGCATTACAAGTGAAAAGAAAAGAATGAATATAGCATATGCTGAACAAGTGAAAATTTCTTAAGTTATAAAAGCTTTGGGAGTCCAAACAACTAGTATCAGTGCAATAGGAAAAAACCAAACCATATAAGTACAAGATTCTTATCTTTCCTATGAACAGTTCTTTGGATCAGTTGATTTTATTCTCAGGACTTTAGTTAAATGTCCTTTGACAATATTTTTATTATTTTTATTCAAAAAGAATTGTTAGAGACAGTCCTGCTGGTAAGGTGCTTGTTTTACATGAGGTTGACCAGGTTCAAGCCCCGCACACACATGTGGTCCTCCAAACCCAACCAGGAGCGATTCTCAAGCACAGAGCCAGGAGTAAATGCTGAGCACAGCTGGGTGTGACCCAAAACCCCTTCAACCCCACCAAAAAAAAAAAGAAAAGAAAAGAAAACCCATGTTAAAGGTTTTTTTTGTCTATACATGAAAACCATTATTTAATGTGAATTCCTGAGTTAATTCATATCAGTATATTGTTACATGTTTTAATATATTAAATATATTGACTTACCACAATTTATTCAAATGGGATAAGTAGAGTAGAGAGTAGCAATGGAGAGTTAACATTAAAATTAACTGAAACAGTAGTTTAGTGAGCAGAAATATCATTTTGGAACTTGATTCTTTGAAAGAAATTTTTGGAACTTGATTCTTCTGCTTGAGAGCTCTTTTTAAACTATTATAAATCCAGAACCGTTTATATGTTTAGAATTGGATCTCCTTCTTGAAGACTGCCTGGTGCAGGCACTTAGCTACTACCAATAGACTAACAATTCACTTGGTTTCTCAGATAGAAAATAGATTACAGGAAAAACACATGAATGGAAAAATGACTGGTCAAGTTTATTGTGGTTATTCTGAGTATCTCTTTAAGCTTTCTTTCAAAATAAGGTACCTTAGTTAAATTGTTTTAGAGAAACAAACTCCAAAAGCCTTGAGAATAGTGCAATCCTAAAGTAGTATTGATTTTAATCAATGTTAAAAACACTTTCCGGGGAATAAGATGAGAAACAAGATGAACGTATTTGCCACAAATAGTGGCAACAGTTCATATCATTGATTTTAGAGAACCTTGAATAAGAACAAGTTGTTTGTGTAAAATTTGAGTGTACTTGCATGCTGGAGTTTATTTTTTTCTACTTCTATTCAAGTACAGTAGGAAACATTTGGAAAATATATAGAAGATGGCAAATCCAGCTTTATGCCTTGTAATTGTTGAGGAAATTATCACACTGCATTTTTTTATGATTTTATATAGTACCTCCTCTGGAAGATTGTAAGGAACAAGAGCCTATTATGGACAACAATATTTCTCTGGTGCCTTTTGAGAGACCTGCTGTCATAGAGAAGCTCACAGGGAATATGGGAAAACGTAAAAGCTCCACTCCACAAAAGTTTGTGGGTAAGCATCGCAAATGCTTTTATTTTTTTTTTTTAAAGGTGATCCGAATGGGTTAAAACATATTCCTGTGAATTAAGGATCTATGATGTATTTCTGTTCATGAAGTAAATATCTTTAATCTTTGCTCAGTTCTTTCCTCCGTTATTTCTGCTACTCCATGCATATCGTACTGAACACACAAGCACACACATGCCCTTAGGAATGAATGTAAAGACCTAAGAAAAAATAGTTCTGATAATAGTAAGTTGCTATCAGAAATTATATTGAAAGTGAAATAGCATTTTAAACTAAAATTTCCAGGGGCCTGAGAGATAGTACAGGAGATAGGGCACTCACTACCTTCCACAGGGCTTACCTGGGTTTGATCCCCAGCATCAAATATTGTCCCCTGAACCCAGCCAGGAGTCATCCCTGAGAACAGAGCCAGTTTTTAGCTTTAAAATGTCATTTGTGGCCCCAAACACAGTAAATAAATAAATTTTCCATTTATATCAAATAATAAAAGGACAGCTAGATAGTACAGAGGTTAGGCACTTGCTTTGCATATGGCAACTGTATCTTTAATTTCTGGCACAGATAAGGTCCTGTGCACCAAAAATTCTCCCTGAGCACAGAGCCAGGAGTAAGTCCTGAACATTACCAGGTGTGGCACAAAAAAAAAAAACAAAAAATAGTAATAATATTAAAGAGAAACTATGTAGCCTGTTGGTTAATTTAATGCTCTGTTTTTAGTTTCATATTAGTTCCAGGTCATAAAACTGTTTTCTTTACATTATATTGTCTTACTGTTTGATCTAGAATGAAGAGAATATTTTTGAAACTATATATCAGAAAAATAATGCCACAACAATGAGTTTTCATATTTGTATCTATAGTTCATATTTTGAACCTTGTATCATTAATTCTATTATTTTCAACTGGGAAGACTAAAAAATGATATGTGTATATTTTTTACATTAAATTTCAAGTCCTTAGATATTCTTTGATATGCTCAATGTATCAATCCAGGCATCATTTGATAAACTGTAAGCTACATTTTGTCTCTTTACGAGTACATAAGCATGCTTTTTAAAAGAACATGTGAAAATTAGAGGTTGCATATACAGATTAAGTTAAATTAAATATGCAGTATATCAAGTCGTACTAGACTTTGCAAGGTTAAAATGTAGAAGAAGCAAAAAATTCAAACAGATTCTCACAATTTAGTGTTAAAGAGCATTGTGTAACTTCCTAACATAGGTTGAGTGGTGTTTGGTAGAAAAATTTCTTCATTTTAGGGAGATAAAGTTAGTGAAATTCTTTTACTCCAGAAAACACTAAGAGACTTATCTTCACTTTAGGTAAAAAAAAAAAAAGGATTGACAAATTACTGAACTATAACTTAAAAATAGTATGGAGAAATTTATTGACAGTTCTTATTGAAAGAATGCAAAGTTTAACTTTGATGAGTTTATACTAGAATACCATAAAGCTCCCTGACAGTACTCTCAAATGCCTGTCTTGAATCCTAGGCAACTTTTATTTTTTGTATCTTTCTTTCCATAAGTAACTTTTTAAAATGAAAGTACAACTGTTTGTAAAACCTAAGTTTATATATATTAAGAAAATGCCTTTGTATTGAAGGCTCTAGGAAAATGTGTAATTCGTTATTTTTTTTTAGATTTTGTTCTGCTTTTGATTTTCTAGTTTTTCTATAAAAATTATGTTACTCTCAATTTGATCTGATTTCATTCCCTAGAAACTACAGAAATCTCTGAAGTGTCTTCTGTTTCTATATTAATGGCATAAGACTTTTTTTAAGAATTTTTTCTTTCTTTATTTGGATTCTGTCCTCGTCATAATATTTAACCGTCACTGCAATAATTGCTTCTGTGATACCTCTTGAAACAAAGTGGTATCATCCACATGTAGAGAACTCATTTCAAGTTTGTTTCTTAGCTAAATAGTGTTTTTTGACTTTACATTTCCTCCAAGTCAGTGATCTCTGATCTTCCTGCATATGTATTTTTGTGCTTCTATTTTTTATTATCCAGATTAGACTATGGTTTATCACTTTTACCACTCTCATGCCATTTTCCATAACTCCTGTGCCTTGCTATCTTTCTATCATTTTTCCTGGTGAAAACAGTAAACTAGATGACTCAACTTATCTTTTGCAAATCCATATTACTGCTGCTATAATTTGGAAGAAAATCCTAAAACTTTTTAAATTGGTATCACTCTGTAAAAAAAATAAAAGAACTCTGATATTAATTGTCCATATGTTTAGAGGCCCTCTTTTAAATCATTGCTGATTAACCTCTCTTAAGCACCATCATGACCTTTTCAACCTTTGTTCACTATAGCAAACATGCTATTTTATCCCTTGATTATATTATATGGAGATTTAGAGAAGAGAGAAGGGCAGTATAAGTGATTTCAATACAATATTTTTAGTTTGGTGGGTTATGGGCATACACAAAATTTCACTCCTCTTTTTCTGCTTTTTTCAGTCAGAAAGAAAATACCTTTCTAATTAAGGTTAATTTCTCTGAAGTACTCCTCTTCCTAAGCCTCAATTATGTTACATTTTTATTTTCCAGTTTCTGATTTTTTTTTTTACGTCTCCCACTATTGACTTTTTTTTTACAACTCCCAGTATTGGCACTTTTCTTTCAGTGTTTAATGTAATAAACATTTATCATCATTTCAATATATTCTCTTGTCTCTCTACTTTCACCTACTACTTACATTCTCCTCTTCAAAGATGCTATTATTAAAGAGTTCTGTATGATTACTTTCCCGAATTTTTATGAACTCATCTCTCAGTTCATGGACTCTGGCTTTCTTCCCTGGAATTCACTGGAATTGCACTCAATAAAATCACCGGTTTCCATAATATCAAACTCAGGGGCCCCTTTTTAGACTATCTGTCACAATTAGCAGAGAGCATTTGCCATCGGTGAATAGTTGATTTCTTCTGAAATGTGATTTTTCTGGTCACCGTGGCATTTCTTCACTCTTTGTTTATTTGTTGTTGGCGATGGTGTTTTTCAGCTTCTCTACGCTTTCTCGAGTCGTAAAGACTTTACCCTTAACAGCTGGGCAAATGGAACAAAAAATCACAATCGGTGTCTTGACTCATAGGCTTAGATATTTTAGCACTGCATATCAAGCTGCAAAATTGTTCTGTTCTGCCCTCCTAACGTGGAAAACTGAGTTTAAATAAACTGGTTCCTCAAAGTAGTGCACCAGACCCAGCAGCACTGTCATAGCCATAACGAACCCTGCTCTACAGCCCCACCCCGCTCTCATCCCCTCGTCTAGTGTTGTAGCACTGTAGCACTGTCCTCCCTTTGTTCATCGATTTACTCAAGCGGGCACCAGTAACGTCTCCCTTGTGAGACTTATTACTGTTTTTGGCATATCACAGGGAGCTTGCCAGGCTCTGCCATGCAGGCGGATACCCTCGGTAGCTTGCAGGGCTCTCTGAGAGGGATGGAGGAATCGAACCCCAGTTGGCTGTGTGCCAGGCAAACGCCGTACCCGCTGTGCTATCGCTCCGGGTGCTGAAATGATTCTCACACATATAGAGAGACCATCTCATCTTCCACAAGCTCTCCTCACATTGTACCACTCATGTAGCATATATAGAACAATGTTTCAAGCCAAAGGCATAGTATTGAGGTACTTGCCTAGCACATGGCTGACCCTGGTTCAGTTCCAGGTACTGCATATGGTCCCCTGAGCACAGAACTAGGAGTAGGTCCTTAGCACCACTAGCACCCTTCCCGTCCCAATAGCCATTTCATTCTGGTCATTTCTTACACCTAAATGTATCATCAGAATGTTCAGCATTCCGGAGGATAGACTTTCTAAGGAGGATTTTGCTGACCCTGGGTACAATCTCTGAACCATTTGAGCAGCAAAGGATTCTGAGGGACTGGGCATCTGAGTGTAGGGGGTACATTCCAGATTGACACATTCCTTTCACCCTATGCATTTCTCACTACTGAGCAACAACACTCACAGCACATTAAATATGGAGTCCAATGCAAGAATCCCACCTGTCTTCGTCTAGGGGCAGGCATAATATTAGTATTCTTGGTAATAATTGCCAATATTGGTCATACTGATATTGTTTTTCTCTTCTCTTCTCTTGTTTATTTTCGACCTATTATTGCCAGATTGATATCTTGCATGGCTTCAAAATAACAACTGATGACTCTAAGTATCTACATTAGCAAGCCCAGATGTTACTTCTGAAGTTAAGTACTATGTCAGTACTTAAAGTAGGTTTTTATTTGTGGCCTTCGCAAACCTTAAATTCATCATCTTACTCCCATCTGTTTCCCAGACCAGAAACCTAGGCATCATGCTTAATTTCTCTTTCTCATTCTCTGGGTAATCACCAACGTCAGAAATGATTTTCCAAATTTGTCTCCATTTCATTGATTTTTTTTCCAGTTCCACTGACTTTATAAATTTAGGATGCCATGATTTCTGCAGTATCAACATCCTAAATTGCCCTGCGAAATAAATACCTATTCAATGTATTTCCTTGCTTGTCCTTTAATACTTAATGCTCTCCAGGTAAAATTCAGTTCAGTGTGCGTTGTATTTTCTGACTGTCTTTCTCATCTATTTCCATGCTAAGTAATCCCTCAAGCAAGCTAGGACTACTTGCCTCTGAGCTTTCATGCTAGCAGTTCTGAACCAGCTTTACCATTTTTGTTTGTTTTGTTTTGTTTTGTTTTGTCATGTGTTTATTTTGGGGCCACACCCAGTGATTCTCAGAGGTTACTTCTGGCTTTGCACTAAGGAATTACTTTTGCTCCCATATGAGATGCTGGGAATCAAACACAGGTTGATCTTGTGCAAGGCAAACACCCTACCTGCTGTACTGTCACTCTGACACAAACCCACTTTTCTTTAAGTGGCAAAAATTTGCTCTCATATTCTTACCTCTTTTTTCAAGAAGTCTTTACTCACCTTTTATGCTTGTTTTTTTTGAAAATAGATTAACTTTCTCTAGTACAGCTTTCAAAATCTTGATGTTACAATATCTCTAACCAGACACTATGACAAGATTTCTCATGACCTTTTTCTCCTATTTTAATGGTTCTAGTAAATACTCTGATGTCACATTGTGACCCTTTCTTCAAATCTGAAATAATAGTAGTTGCTTGAGAGTGCTTTTATAGAATTCAGTCTGGTAAACCAGTATTTCCTAGCAACAGTGTATGTTGGGCATGTACCCAAGGCAACATATTAAGCATTTGTGAAAAGGCTACATAATTTTTGTAGAAGAATTTATATATAAGATTTAACTTTCAAAGCAACTATTTACTGGAAGAAAAACACATTGCTTTGAGGGTAGTTTTTGTTTGTTTTGGGGGTAGTCTTTGTTTGCTTTTGAACTGCTCCCAAGAGGTGCTCAAGAATTACTCCTGGCTCTGTGCTCCTGGAAGTGCCTAGGGAACTATATAAGGTACTGGAGGGTAGAACTGGGGTTGGCAGTGTGCACGTTGAGCACATTAACCTCTAATGGTCATGCTGTCTCTCAGGCTCTGTGGAGCTCTGTTTTAAAATTTTCAATTCAGTGCAGGCATATGTGGAGGAGAGAGATTAAAATTACATTTCCTGTTTGGGGCATCATTTTTTTTTTTACTTGAGTTCTTTTTCTTGAATCCCAATTTTTTATTCTGCCACTGTGATCTACTGGACACAGAACCCAGTACTAGTTTACTTACCCAAACAATAGCCGTTTGCCAAATACCCAAGCATAGTGAGATAAACTATCATCTTTATTTATTTATTTATTTATTTAGCGCATTACAAAGCTATTCATGATTGTATTTCAGTCATACAGTGTTCCAGCATCTATCCCTCCACCAGTGTACATTTCCCAGCACCAGTGTCCCCAGCTTCCCTCCCGTCATCCCCACCCCCAACCCCCATCTCTTTGGCAGGCACTTCTCTCTCTCTCTCTCTCTCTCTCTCTCTCTCTCTCTCTCTCTCTCTCTCTCTCTTTCTCTCTCTCTCTCTCTTTCTTTCTCTCTGGGCACCATTTTATTAATTAATTTATTATTTATTTTGCTTTCTGGGTCGGAGCTGGAGTGATAGCACAGCGGTAGGGCGTTTGCCTTGTGCACGGCCAGCCCAGTCGAGCCGGGTTCAATTCCTCCACCCCTCTTTGAGAGCCCAGCAAGCTACCAAGAGTACTGCATGGCAAAGCCTGGCAAGCTTCCCGTGACGTATTTAATATGTTAAACACAGTAACAACTAGTCTCAAAAATGGAGACGTTACTGGGCCCGCTCGAGCAAATCGATGAAGAACAGGAGGACAGTATTTGTTTAACAGTATGCTTTTGGGGTCATACCCTGCAATGTACAAGGATTACTCCTGGCTCATGCACTCAACAATTACTCCTGGCAGTGCTCAGGGGACTATATGAGATGCTGGGAATTGAACCCGGGTTGGGCCCGTGCAAGGCAAATGCCCTACCCGCTGTACTATGGCTCCAATCCCACCATTTTATTTTTAAAGTATAGATGAATTGATTTTTTGCCACACCCAACAGTGCTTAGGTCTTACTTCTGGCTCTGTGCTTAGTTATCACTCCTGGCGGTCTCGGGGTGCCAGGGATCAAACCTGGGTCAGCCACTTTCAAAGTAAGTGCCTTGTCCACTGTACTCTCTCACCAACCCCTATATGCATTATTGTATTGAAATAAAATACAGAAATAAAATACAATTTGATGAAATAAGCATAAAAGGAAATTTACAAACATTTGCTCATTAAGCAGATATATAAACTATACTGGGATGTATATACCATCAGTGTTGCACACATGTCTGAATAAAAAGGGTGCTGTGAAAATAATACTGTTTCAAGAATTAAAACTGGTATGTAACATTTCCCAAGTTTGTAAGCGAGTACTTTCAGAAATGACTTGTTTTTTTTTTTTTGTTGTTGTTGTTGTTTTTATGTAGGAGTACTGCTATCTATTCAGCCACTGATTAGCTGATTGAATTGGGCATGAACTCCACTTTTTTGTATTTTTATTTTATTTTTCCTCCCTAAATTTTATTTTATTAAAACACCTTGAGTTATAAATGTATTCATTAGGATAAAGAAGGAATCACTATGACAATGACAATTTAAAGTGGTCACTCTGGATAAGAACTAAGTGCTGAAATTAGGTAAAGGACTATACACGATAACCTCTCAATACCCTACATTGCAAACCATAATACACAGAAGAGTGGAGGGGAGAGAGAGAGAGAGAGAGAGAGAGAGAGAGAGAGAGAGAGAGAGAGAGAGAGAGAGAGAGAGAGGTGTCTGCCATAGAGGCAGAGTGGGGCAGGGGTGGGGAATGGTGGGAAGGAGACATTGACTGGAGACGTTGGTGATGGAAAATGTACTCTGGTGAAGGGATGGCTATTGAAGCATTTTATGACTGATACCCAATCATGAACAACTCCGCAACTGTGTATTTCATGGTGATTCCATTTAAAACAAATTTTAAAAACAAGTTTATTCCTAGTTGGATTTTCGCCATACAGTGTTCCATCATGGATCCCGACACCAGTGTCAACTTCCCTTCACTGGTGTTCCTGGTTTTCTTCTTCTACCCACCCACCACAGCCCCAGACTGTCATCTTCACAGTCAACTTTTAGGTTTGGATATAAAAGGTTGGGTATTGTGATTTCATTGTTGACTCTCAGATTTGGATATTTAACTCTATCATTCTTTAACATCAGCCAAAGAACCCTAAATTTCATTCAATTTATCATGCAATATAACTTTTCATGGTGCTTTAATAATAATATATAATATGCTACTCATTTATGTAGTACAATTCATAACAATAGTGACTTTTTTACTCGTCCACAATGATAAATTCTAGCTCTATAACATTTTTATAAGATTGCCGCTAAATCAACCAAACTAATTTAGCAGAATGAAATGACACATTATAACCAGATCATTTTCACATTTATGGTCAGGTAGCTTTGTCAGTAATACTTAAATTTTCAAAAATAAGCATCATCTCTGACACATTTTTACATTATTTTTTCTTTCCTTTATAGTCACTGAATCTAGATATATGGAAATTTTAATAGAATGAAAATAAGATAAGACACTTGATCATAACTTTCAGGTCAGAAGTGTTTTCTTAATAGCTTTAGAACAAGTGCTTGTGAAATTTGTATGACTAATCCTCTTTGTGGATGAAGAGTATTTGTGAGTCTAAGCAGAATTGTCAAGCACACATATTTGATCTAAGGAATAAAGTAAATCATAATGGAAATGGAGGCGACCAATTAACTTCATACTCTTAATGTTTTTAACTCAGTCCCTAATTTTGTTGTAATTTTTTTTCTCCTTTTCACTCTTTTTCCTCTCTTTCTTTAAGGGGAAAAGCTCATGCGATTCAGCTACCCAGACATTCACTTTGATATGAACTTAACGTATGAGAAGGAGGCTGAGCTGATGCAGTCTCATATGATGGACCAAGCCATCAACAATGCAATCACCTACCTTGGAGCTGAGGCCCTTCATCCTCTGATGCAGCACCCGCCAAGCACAATCGCTGAGGTGGCCCCAGTTATAAGCTCAGCTTATTCTCAGGTCTATCATCCAAATAGGATAGAAAGACCCATTAGCAGGGAAACCGCTGATAGTCATGAAAACAACATGGATGGCCCTATCTCTCTCATCAGACCAAAGAGTCGACCCCAGGAAAGAGAGGCCTCTCCCAGCAATAGCTGCCTCGATTCTACTGACTCCGAAAGCAGCCATGATGACCACCAGTCCTACCAAGGAAACCCTGCCTTAAATCCCAAGAGGAAGCAAAGCCCAGCTTACATGAAGGAGGACGTCAAGGCTTTGGATACCACCAAGGCCCCTAAGGGCTCTCTGAAGGACATCTACAAGGTCTTCAATGGAGAAGGAGAACAGATAAGGGCCTTCAAGTGTGAGCACTGCCGAGTCCTTTTCCTAGACCATGTCATGTACACCATTCACATGGGTTGTCATGGCTACCGGGACCCACTGGAATGCAACATCTGTGGCTACAGAAGCCAGGACCGTTACGAGTTTTCATCACATATTGTTCGAGGGGAGCACACATTCCATTAGGCCTTTCCATTCCAAAGGGGACCCCTATGAAGTAAAGAACTGCACATGAAGAAATACTGCACTTACAAATCCCACCTTCCCTCCAATGTTGGCATATCTTTATTTTTTAATATTATTACTGTCATTAATTATTATGTTGTGGACGCAGTGTCATTTGCTCTGCCTAATCACAGTAAGGAAGAAACTGAAGAGAGAAGGGACAAGGGATAGTGTGTCTTGATAACTTGGCTTGTTAATATTGTGAGAATTCAAGAGCAGTTCTGCCATGCATAGATGCAAGGCGTATTATGCTTTGGGGGTGGGGGGGCAGGGAGAATCACTTGATTCATATAGATTCACCTAAGAGATTCTGATTTGCCACTGATATTCAGGATGATTTAAGGGAGGAAGTTTTCTGGGTAGAACTTTCACAGTATAAAATGGTATAAGTAACTTTACTCTTCAAAGAAGAATTTGTTTCAAAATGTAGAATTTTCTTTCCCTTTAGAGATCATTGAACACAAACACATTGTTGTTTTTATTGACAACTCCACGGATGAGTTGTTGTTGTGGGTTCTATGTTTACTTCCCCTCTGGAATTTATAATATGTTGTACACTGTACTATAGAGCAAACTTTTAAACTACAGGTAGTTAAGGGCACCTACAATACATCTGAGGTCCTCTAATTCTTATTTTTCTAAACTTAAGCACTGTTTTTCCATAATTTTGATGACTGGCATTTTATAGACACCCTGGCAGCCTTACTTTTAACACCTTTAATGAATAGTATTTTTATCTAGTTTTCTGAATAACATATGGTCTAAAAGTGGCTAAGAAACAGTTAATAGTTTCCAGAAGGTACCTCTACTTTTCATAAATTGGGAAGTTTTCTTTTGAAGTTGTAATGTGGATGGCAGCATAGTATACATATTTGTTCCGTCTAAAAGTATGCTTGCAATTGTCACTTTATCAGCATTAATCAGTGTTAACCATTCATCAGAAAAAAATATAATTAGGCTAACAGTAGGGGGAAAAACCCACTTAGAAATTCTTTGTCTGGTATTTCTCTTTTCACAGGTGTTTTCAAATTGAGACCACCCAATGTTCTGTCCATAGTCCATTCACCTTTTACTCTTCCAGTGGAAGGTCTTAAAAATCTTATTATAGGGCATTTCTTTCAAAATCTCCTTGGAGCAGTCGCTAATTTCTCCCGAAAGTGTGGTAATTTGAATTCCATGAGATTATGGAAGTACTAGAGTTATTTATTCTAGTATTTCTTAAATAATAAATTTACCAATGTTGGTATAAGGAAAAAGGAACTTTTTTTTATAATTTGTACATTGGGCTATTAGATAAACAAAACATAAGGTTTGCTTTGACCCTTCTTTGAGTCTAGACTGTGACAGAACCTCCAAGCAAAAGTGACCAGATCCTTTACTTTCTTTTTACATCTCAGCAACATTCAGCATTTTGTAAATCCAAAAATTAATCTCAAACCCTTAGCACATTTTTCTTCTTTTAACCCATATGTATGTTGCCATATTTTGTGTTCAGGTCTTAATTTCATTTATGTGGGGATTCTATGTTTTTCATTTGTTCTTGTTTTTTTTTTTGTTTTGTTTTGTTTTGGGTTTTTTTTTTTTTTTGCAATCCAACAGAGAACTAGATGGCAGCGAGTCCATATATGATGGAGGATGGGGCACAATTTGGAAGCAGAAAGTGCTGTCTGTTTTTCAGAGGACAAGCCTGACAATGATTGAATTATCTATTAGCCATTTATAAATATTAAGATTCTATTAAGCAGTAACTAACTGATAACTGCTCTAAAAACACTTATTGGATAGGATGCCGAAACTTTGTTTTTTCACAGAGTGATTTGAGAAAAAACCAGATTAGGGAACTGTGGATGGAAAAGCAAGCCTCTTTACTCACTGTCTGGTTTTCTAGCTGCTTATTTAGGTAGCCTATATCTAAGCACTAACATCTAAAGCTAGATAACTCAGCTTCCTTTAGCTTCTTTCGTAATTTGAGGGGAGTCCAAACTGTTCCTTTAAGTCTAAGAGAGTGTATCCAAAAAAGATGCATAAAAGGTTTTAAATTGTACTTTTTTTTTCTGCTTGCTTTAATACATTGTAAACATACAAATGTTCAAAGGTAAAGCATGTCTTTGAGACGCCCTGGCCAACCTACCCTAAATATTCATAAGGAATTGGAACTCTTTTTTTTTTCTTTTGGAAGAAGGTATATAATTTAAAATTAGTGATTTTGTGTTTTACTTCAAATTAAGGAAACATTTGGATAGCAGTCAATATGTTCATTACTTTGACTGTGTATAGAATTTCTTTGGGCATCATCTGTGAGCTTCCTTCATTCTCTGGATTTTTTTCCTCCAGCATGTGAACAATAGGTAAAGGTAAAGGCCCTCCCGTTGATCAGCGATTTGCTTGAGCGGGCCCAGTAACGTCTCCATCATGAGACCTGTTGTTACTGTGTTTGGCACATTGAGTACGTCACGGGTAGCTTGCCAGGCTCTGCCGTGCGGGCGAGAATATACATAAATTCTCTGGATGAAAATTAATTTAGGTTTATCTAAAATTGTGGCCCTATAAAGACAGTACTAGTACACTGTCCTTTTCTGATTTCAGCTTTTGAGGAATATGTTTTATTGAAGGATTTATTATTGCTGAGAGTATATGTTATAAAGATATATATTTTTGCTTTCTCGACTTCATGATATGAAGAACATAAAGGTAAAATAGTTTAAAATGTGGCAGGGACTAGATTAGTTCAAATGTTTAGGTTAGAAAGAATTTTTGTGGACATAGTGATTTCTGGGAACACTGGAAGGCTATATTTGCATTCCTTTTCTTCACAGAAGGAAATACGCAAGCCAGTAGCACCTAAAAATAAATACAAGGATTAAGCACCAAATAAATCAAATTTATTTAACAATTGTATGCCCAACTTAGGTGAGATTTCCTGTTACAGAGAGTGTTTGAGGGACATGAAAAGGGTATTTTCCAGTTTGGCAAAAATTCAGAAATATTTCATGTTCATATTGTTTTGCCCTAATGTTTTCCCCCAGAATTTTATGCCCATCTCCTCTGGGGAAAGTTGTGCTGCAACTACTTAGTGGTAAATAACTTTTAAAATGCCATTCTAATTGTTTTTTTTTTCAAGTGCAAGTGATCAATGCTCAGATTGGAAAAGACTTTGAGTTGTTGAAGCATGCTGCTGAGAATTTTCTGGAGAAACAAAATGAGAAGAGAGACTAGGATTTAGACTTGGCTATGATGTAGGGAGTATCTCTCCTACATACATACAAAGAGTTGTATGTATGCATCATACTGTATGTGTGTGTACACACACTTTTAATGAAAATTCCTGAAAAGATAGAGTGAAAAGATGTGCAAGACATTATAGAGCGTTTGGATGATTATACCTAAGAAACTTATTAGGTTTATTTTACCAGATTGTATTAAAATATATTAAAGAGGTTACTGCTTAGGACTAGTTGTTACTGTTAGTCTTGGATCTTTACTATCTACCTTCCAGAACAAACAAAAAAAAATTTTTTTTCAAAAAAGGACTTTAGACTGTTTTGATGTAGCAGCTAAACTGAAAGAAACACAAATTGCTTTTTAACAGGAAGATATAAAACTGATACACTTTCTTGTTCACAAATGGAGAAAGGCAAGAATATTTCACTTATGGTTTCTGTTTCTCAATTGTATGCATCTAAAAGAAACTATACAATCCATATTTTATAAACATTTGCGACATTTACATTGGTGAAGACATTTAGCTGAAAATTATGTTTTACTTACTTTCCCTTGTTCTTTAATTCTAGCTCCAAAATGATTCCTTAAAATAGAAAAAGAACAAAAAAGACTGCAAAAAATGTAGACCAAAAAAATAAAAATCAAAATGAGTCCCTGCATGCCCCTTAGTTTTAAGGCAAACTAAGATTATAAGAGATGATGGATAAGTTATTTTTTATAAACTTTGAGCATTCATTTATTTTAAAAAAGGGATTTTTACAATATGGTTACCTTTAGTTATATTTCGTATGTTATTTTAGTGCTATCTGTTGAATGTTATTCTAAAACGAAATTCTCCAAATCTCAAAAAAAACAAAAGTGGGGTGAAGTCTGAAGTTTGTATACATGGAAATTATCTTTAAAGTATTTTTAAACCTCCAGTTTCTGCAAAATAATTAAAATATTACAGAAACTGGTCTCTTAAGGTACTGAATTTAATGTATTTAATACTTAAAAACTTTCTTTGTATTGGTGCCTTTTAAAAATGCATTGAGAAAGTGTTGCTTAGCTATTGTAGCTCTGCAATACTTTTGTTATGTATTTTTTAAAAACCACTTAAATATGAGTACTATATCATTCATCCTCAAGACTTTTAGAGGAATTCCCAGCATCAAGATTTTCAGCACAGCTGTTTAAAGTAAAAGGAATCTTTGAAGCTGATTTTTATATCTTCTTGGTTTGATAGAATTTTTGAATACCATTATAAGATTAGGCAGGTACAATGTGAGGTAGGTGATAGTGTAGCTGTGAATTGTGTTATGTGTTTCTTGCTTTGCTTTTTGGAGAGATAAGTTCTGATATCATACAAGGCTTTGTCAGAGGAATTTGGGGTCAGTAACCTACAGTATTCTATAATTTTATCTAGAGACTAGTGATGTGCTAGTCTTTGAACCTCTCTTCAAATTAGTTCATGTCTGATGAAATGTTGTAAAGGAGCATGTAATTCATTATCCTTGAACAAAACAAACTGAACCGTCATATCACATTGCTACTCTTCAAAGAATAATCTCCAATGGTTTCCTAAACTATGGTTGTATACTACTTGCTATGGACATGTTAGACTATGACAGCTTTTAAGAAAAAAATGAGCTGCTTGTTATACAAAGCAAATGTCATATGACCAAGAAGCTGTGATATGTTAGTGTTTCTTCTTATCATAGTATATTGCTAGGCCAAATAATTATACTTTTAATATTTTTACATTTATGGCATAAACTTAAAATTTTGGAATTTTCATATGGTCTTTATGTTACTTTTTTTTTTATCTTTTTAGTTTTTCATTGCTTGTAGTGTAAGTTTGTGGATACTTTCCACATGCACTCTTAGAAATAAGTTCCTAATTCCGTTTGTGGCTCTTTTTTTCCTTATAACATTGCATTTGTATATTTTTTGTATAGATTTGTTGTGAATTAATCTTAATGCATACAGAGTGGTACATGAATGGCAAGTTTTCTAAGATGTCCTTTTTATTGT